AATTTCCTGCTTAAAAGTTCGATAGATCTCTAGTGCGAACTTCTTAATCATGCCAATTCTCCACATGTCAGTCTCCGTTTCCTTCACTTTCTTCTTGACCGATAGTTCTTTTTGGTTTGGCCACTTGCTGTTTTCTAAGTATTTACCAGTCAACTTCCTGGTTCGCTTCCTCCATTTTGTATCGACATTCTTCATGTACAAGTAGCTGAAAACCTTCCTAGCCCAACGCTCTTCCCCCATTTCTCTCAATCGCTTCTCAAATTTTATCTTGCTGCTAGCTTCCCTGCCCTCAAATGATGTCCATCCCATATCACCTTGTACTCCCTGATTTGGTGTATTCCCGTGAGCTCCTAAAGCAAGCCTACCTATTCCACGTTGCTTATTTTTCTAATCTTGCTTGAACTTCTGATCTCATGCACAAGACCGCATTGCTGAACGTCAGCCCAGGAACCATGACCCCTTTCCATATTCCTCTCACAACATCATACCTATTGTAATTCCACAGTGCCCTATTTTTCATGACTGCTGCATTCCTGTTACCTTTAGTCGTCACGTATATTTCGTGTTCCCTCAGATACTCGGTCCCATTGCTTATCCATACGCCCAAATATTTGTATTTATCTGTTATCTCTAGCGTGACCTCCTGTATTCTAAGCTCACTACCTTCGTTGTCATTGAAAATCATGACTGCTGATTTTTCCCTACTGAATCTAAAATCTAACCTATCTCCCTCATTACCGCAGATGTCCATCAATCTCTGCAAATCTTCCTTGTTGTTGGCCATTAGCACTATATCATCTGCGTACATTAATGCTGGTAGTGCCTGATCAATAAGTTTTCCTTGTTTGACTAAAGAGAGGTTGAAGCCCAGTCCACTTCCCTCTAATTTTGCCTCTAATCCTTGTAGGTACATCATGGATGGATGGATGGATGGATGCCATGAGCGTCCCCTTTATAGCGGGGTGGTGACAAGTATGCCACCAGGCTCGACAAAAAAAAAACCTTTTTTTCTTTTTTTTATGTTGGCCTAATGCCTCTACTTCGATAAATTCTATCTTAATGAAAAAAAAGGTAAACTTTCAGCTTAAGTTCTCTGCCATTTACGGCACACTGTCCATATTTTATTTTTCTAATATTTATTTTTGTCCTTTCTCTCTAATTTTCTGCCACCAATACTCTAACCGTCTCTTACTTATTTCAATCGCGGGTGTGTTCAGCTTTCCATTGTTGTCCCTAAAACCCAAGGCTTCCTGTAGGCTCGTGCCCAAACGTACACCTGGGTGGATATCTCCACATTCAATCAGAACATGTTCCGCCGTTTCCTTATCTTTCCCGCAGCATGTGCATTGTTCTTCTTCTTTACTGAATCTTGCTTTATAACTACGCGTTCTAAGGCAGCCCGATCTCGCTTCAAACAGTAAAGCGCTTCCCCCGTAATTATCGTAAAATGCCTCCCTCCTTATTTCATTTTTGCCCTTTCGGTAGTTACTCAAAGCCGGTTTTTTCTCCATAGCTGCCATCCAGTAAATCCTCTCCGCCTCCCTGACTTTTCCCTTAACGCTCTTTGTTGACATATGGCTCACAATACCAGCCGTATATTTACTAGTGAGTCTTCTAGTTCTTTTTCTCCACTGTGTGTCCACGCTCTTCCTATACAAATAACGGAACACCTTCTCTGCCCATCTACTCTCCTTCATATTTCTTAGCCTTTCTTCGAACCTTATTTTGCTCTGCGCTTCCCTCGCCTCAAAACCTGCCCACCCCATATCGCCCTTTACAGCCTCGTTTGTCGTCTTCCCGTGAGCACCCAACGCGAGGCGTCCCACAGTCCTTTGATTTACATCCATTCCCGATTGCACCTCTGCCCTCATGCACACCACTGAGTTCCCAAAAGTAAGCCCTGGAACCATTACACCCTTCCACAGACCTCGAAGCACCTCATACCTATTGTATCCCCACAACGCTCTGTGCTTCATTATTGCCGCATTCCTCTTTCCTTTTGCTGCCGAGGCTTTTTCCTGTACCTCCATGTATCTATCACTCTCATTTACCCATACTCCAAGGTACTTGTATTCACTTACCCTCGGTATTTCTTGGCCTTGTATGGACACCGTCTGTTCACAGGGATCATTGAATATCATCAATCCACACTTCGTTACACTGAATCCTAGTCCAAGAGCTTCACCTTCCCTTCCGCATATATTCGCCAGCTGCTGTATATCATCTCGACTGTCCGCAAATAAGACGATATCGTCCGCATAAAATAAACCTGGAAGCTTCTGCTCAATCATCATGCCGCCCTGTTTGTGTGACAGATTAAAACCAATGTTGCTACCTTCTAGCGCTTTTTCCATACTCACCATGTACAGCATGAATAACAGCGGGGACAAAGGACATCCCTGTCTCAGACCCCTGCTAACCTCAACGTTCTCTTTGCTACGCATTCCTTCCCACTCTATGCAAACTGTATTTACTCGGTATATCTCCCTCAAAAGCTGTATACAGTCGTCGCCCATGCCCATTCCTTTCAATATATCCCACAAAATTTCCTGATTAACGTTGTCGTATGCCCCAGTGATGTCTAGAAAAGCCACGTACAAGGGCCTATTCTCTATTTTAGATATTTCTATACACTGAGTGAGAACAAACAGGTTATCGTCTAACCGCCTGTCGACTCGAAATCCGTTCTGAAGTTCTCCCAAAATATCGTTATGTTCGGCCCATGTTTCTATTTTCATTTTTACTGCTTGCATCGCCAACCTGTATAGTACCGATGTAATGGTTAGTGGTCTATACGAGCGAATCTTGTCCTTTTCTCCCTTGCCTTTATAGATTAAGTTCATTCTACTTTGTCGCCAACTGTCCGGTATTTGTCCGTCCTTTAAGCTTTTTTCTACTGCTTTTAACAACGCTTCTTTAGTGTTATGTCCTAGTTCGTTAATGAGGCTAACGGGAATCCCATCTAAACCCGCGGCAGTGCGCTTTGGAATTTTTCCTTCGGCCTTTTTCCAGTTGAAATTATCAAGTACTAGCTCTTCCTCTGTTGCTTTCTCCACCACACTTTTACTCACCGGGGAGATCCCCTGGACGCTCTTTTGAAACGAATCGGCTGTTACCTTTTGGATGTAACCTAGCGCTTCGTACCCTTCCAATTGATTTCCTCCTTCATCTAGAATATGTTGTTGCGTTGTGACAGACTTCCTACCTAGCGCCTTTATGTGGCTCCAAAAAATCCTAGGCGCGGCCTCCTTTTTTTTCGTGTATCTCTGTCATCCAGCGTTCACTTTCACCTTTAATTTTTGCCTCTACCAATTTCTGTACATGAGATTTTTTCTCTAAATATATTTCCCATATTTTTTGACTTCGTCCTGCGGCCGCTTCTCCTTTTTTGCCTTTCTATGCTCCCGTGATGCTTCGCGTCGCTTCTCGATCGCCTCCCGGATTTCCTTGTTCCACCAACTTTTTGGCTTCCTTTTTCCTTTCCAGCAAACAGTTTTCTTCTCTTTCCCTATCTCCTTCGTCATTAGATGTAACAGCTCACTATACTCCCAGTCCTTGCCTGGTATTTCGCCTACTTCTTCCTCGACTCTTGCGGCTATATTTATTATTTGTTTGTCATTTAAATACGAGCTGCCAGACTTTGATTCCATGCTCATATTTTCAGTTTCGTATCCCATTTGTAATGTTATTCGTTTATGATCACTACCCAAGCTGTTAATGCCTTCCTCGTCTATCCTCATTTCTGTCAGTTTGTGGTAAATTCCTTCAGTCATGAGACAATAATCAATACTTGATTGCTTGTTTCCGACTTCCCATGTGATCTGGCCGTCACATTTAGGCCCCGTGTTAACTATCTCCAGACTATGTTGCTCGCAAAGATCTAGTAATAACTTCCCATTGGTGTCTGAATATCCGTCAAGGTCATGTATGTGGGCATTCATGTCCCCTAGAAGGATGATTTCGGCCCCATTACCAAATTCCTTAATATCCGCACTCATGCAATCCACTATCTCCTGATTCTTTTCTCTGCAGTTATTTCCCGTCCACAAGTAGGCTACCCCTAGCCACGTTTCCTTTCCACCTACTGTGCCCAGAACCCAGAGGTGCTCTGAACACGTCTGTTTCACTCTAACCCATTTGGCTCCGCGGTGAATTAGCATTCCTACACCCCCACCTTTCCTTTCCGATATGGTCCTGTTACACCCTTCCCAAACATAATTTTTAATATGTGGTGGCTCTTCCAAGTCTCTAAGGTGTGTTTCTGTAACCGCATACACGCCTATCTGTTCTTTGTTTAACTGCTCCTCAATCTCTAACCATTTTGCCTTCTTTCTGCCACCCTGCATGTTTATGTAACTAATTGCAACACGCGCCTTTTTCCTTTTTCTTTTACCTTTTTTCTGGTTTTTCGCAATTCTACCTGTCAAAGCGTCCTCCTGGTTGTTTTCCCTGTTACGAGCTACCCCGGACTCCGAAGGGCCCGTGAGCCCCCCAAAAAAGCTACTGCGCGTCCTGCCAGTCGCCAGCCCACCTCGTGTCCAAGCCTCTTATCGAAATGAATCTTGTCTCTTTGGAATCCACCCCACCTGTGCACTTCCCTGTTTAAATCCACTACCTCGAAACCCTTCTCTCGACTAATTCGCCATATCTCTTTGTTTGCGTCGACAACCGCTCTTTGCAGGTTGACGTTGCGTGCTGGTACTTCCGGTACTGTGCATACTACAATTTGCACCTGGGGGGGACACGGTGCGCATGTCATCCACCCCTTTCGCCAAGGTCGTCGCTAGTCCTGACGATTCTTTTTTCAGGACGTCATTTAACCCTCCCGCAATTACAACGAGGTTACGATTGTTAGCTTTAGCTGCGAGTTGTTCACCCGCTTGACTCATTACTGTCCCCAGCGTTTGTCCTGGGAACGTGTCGGTCGCGAGCGCCACCGCGCGGAGCTTGTTTAAAACTGAAGGCAGGCCAACTCCGCTGGGAGCGCAAGCCATTCCTCAGGCATCTTTCTAGAGGAGGCGTTGCCCTAACCGAGCACACACTTTATAGGCAAGCTGTGAGCTGCGGGACATGGCTGGCAGTCGCATATACAAGTTGGGCTCCATTTTCACGAGGTGCGAGTGATCCTTTGCTTCATGTACTACGATTGTTATTTATTAGCAAAAGACTCTGGTTTCTTCTGATTTGTTGCCACGTTTACTATGATGCGGCTTGATTATGCCTAGGGGCAACATCTATTGCACTGGTACCGTATTTGCGCTTATAAAATTGGTAATAATGAGTCTGAAGAGGCCACAGTTCTGTCGATAAGCGAGCGCCAGTGGGATGATCCGTTGTAGAGAGTCGAGTGATCATGCAAGGCGTTGTTTTCTTGCCTACGCTGTGATTGCTAACGTTGTAGCACGTGCGCTGTTTCGTTTCCGCACGCTACATACTGTGAGACTCGTCTTTCGCTATGCCCACAACCCTTAGTTTGAACCTTGCCTACGCCAATGCACTGCCGTACTTCCAGAGGGAATCAGGAAAGCCTTTTCTCTTGCAGAGAGGAAATTCGGTCCTGGTGATCGGCTTCCTTTCGTGCGTCTCGCGCAACAAATGCACTGGAGTGCATTTGTTTTATGAGGTTTTTGTCTTATGTCATTTGTCTTATGTCTTAGTGCATTTGTCTTATGAGGTTTGTCTCGCGACACATCCAAGTCCAGTGGATTTGTCGCAACTGCTCGAAGGTGCCCTATTATAAATGCTTTGTAGCAAAGCCTTTGCACTTAAAAACGGGTTGATAGAAACGGGTTGATAACAAAAATAGTGGTGTTGGTCCGAGTTACTTGCTCAGTCGCAAAAAGTACTAGCAACCCTTTCTTACTGCAACTATCGTCAGATGGTAAAAAGAGTGCAGTTGTGTCAAAGAGACCGGCGCAGTAGACCGACATAGCCTGGAGGCACTGTCGTATCGTCTTTGACAAGCATCTTGCTCGGTGTCGAGCAGCTGATTACTGGTGTCAAATGTGACAACGGCGAGAGTTCTATTTCGGTGAGGCCACTGTAAGTGACGATGTCGTGGCGGTAGAGAAAATGCCATTCCAGGATGGCATCATCAAACCATGCAGTAATGATGATGAACTTGACGACATACAAAACATCCTGAATAACAACGCGAGCAGTGCACACTACTGTAGCATGAATACTCTGTGAACTAGTGGTATGGAGGGACATCCCACAAAGTAGCATTGTCACTTTTTGGAGTAAGTGGCAAAGTTTTGCGTCGGTAACAGATATGGCAGCTCTGGTATCGATAAGGGCAGATGCGGAAGCACTGTCCAAGCACGTCAATGTCATTTGACGTATTTCTCCGAGGACTTTCTCAGTTCATAGCATCGCAGCCGTTGCCTCGTGTACTGCACCAACTAGTTTTCCTAGACCTTGCCTCACTTCATATCATCATTATTTTTCCCTTAAGGGCCCCTTGTTGGAGAATTACATAAGGGGGGGGGGGGATAACACAAAAAGTTAGACATGTGACTAGCCCCTCAAGATGTCTTGATCAGTCATGCAATTTTTCAGGTGACGAATTTGAAACACACTTCTTGGAGAAATGGAATATTTGCTGAAATGAAAAAACAGGGAGTACAGTCTAAATTCACAATCAGTATTAGAACGTGAGGCAATCTGTGAGCAACTGCTTAAACACAATGGGGTTACACTTGCTGGCAACACTATCTGGCAATATCCTGCATGTGCGTCATTCAGTTTGAGCGGAGGTGGCCAGAACACTTTTTTGCATGTATAGCTTCACCTTTTGCATCTTCGTGCCAGATGAGAGAAATGGAACGTTAATTGTTGCGCAGGGTGGAGGGCCTTTTGAAGGCTGGTGGCATGATGCCTTCGGAAGAACCACGCTGGCTTGATGTGTACCGTGCCTTACCACCCATCGAGGAGCCCAGCTTCTACAGGGCGGCTAGGGGCGACGTGCGTCCAGTCTTCTACCCAGAGGATGTGGCGCGCATGTGAGGCTCTTTCATTTGCTCCCAGTGTGCGCAAGGATGTTATTTTTTATTCTTTTGGCAAAAAATTAAGAGGTGGTAGGTGCTCGAAACATATACTTCAATCACCATTGTAAATTTTGGTGGTTATTAGAGCAGAACGGGCGAGAGCCTTGGAGTTGTAAAAATCTCTCGTGGCCACTTACTGCACCCTTGAGACAGGTTGTTCGATAGAGCTAATGGCAATAACTCATTTTATTTCTTTCACATGTGTTAAAAAATACACATACTTGGTGCATGTGTGGGTTAATTCCTCATAGTCTTTTGTCTGGCTCCTGCTGCCCACCTAGAAAAAGTATGTTGAATAGTGCCGTAAGTTCTGCACATTTAATTTTGTTACCTGTAGGAAGGTTCCACGAAGCAGTGGCAACTACATTATGCTGTGAAATTTCATTGTCAAGTGAGGTAAAAATATTTACTTAAATATAATCAGTGAAACTACTAGTGCATGTGGGAAGCTCATCTTTGCATGATGCACGAAAAATATAATTACAGTAAGCAGTGTGTATGGGACAATTGGGCTAGTAGTAAGGATTCATACTAAGAAAACCGCACAACAAAGCAAAAGGGAGCACACCTTCTCTCTCGTGCTTGGGCTCATGCGTTTCAAATGCTCCCTCGTATTATTATCTTGCTACATGGCGCCCTTTTGTAATTATAAGCAGTATGTTCATGGGCTTGGAATATGTCCTTTCAGTTGCATTATATTATAAGGGTATTATCCTCTCCAGTCCCCATAACCTCATTTAGGGCCATTTGTTGGATCAAGTGCATCCAATTCTGAAGCAGATATTTTTTACCTTCAACTTGAACTTGTTTCTTGGAGACCAGTACGTTACTGACATGAATTTAAATATTTACAAGTTGTTGGTTTAAGTAAAAGTACTGACATTGAGAACCTCGAGAAGAGAGTAATGTAGTGACAGAGAATGCATCATATATATTATAATACCATGGCTTCAGAGCAACAGTCTTAATTTCGATATTGAGAGGGTGGTTTCTCGGTGACGTTTCATGGCAGTCTGACGCGACAGCAACTCGTGATGTACAAGTGGAAGATCTGTCAGCTGCTCGTGGTGCATGTAAATACAGATGAGGCAACTGCTGTCCACTGAGGTGACAGTGATATTTCACGTTGCGTGCAGGATTCGCAAACTCGGTAGAACAGTTTTGACTCATCGGGATAATGTCCATTGCAGCGGGGCTGGGTCGCTGGTGCTCAGTGGCAAAAAGTTCAAAATGAAACTAAAAAATATTTTATGTGTGTTGCGTGACCCTGGCATGTGGAGAGCTTTAACATTGCATATCAAAGAATTGTACAATCTCCCTGTTACGATTTTCAAGATCGTGTTAGTGCTCCATTAAGCTCAACGAAATAGTGCTCCATGTCGTGCATTTGTGATGCATAGTGGCTTTGAAAATGGCATTTCTTAGCAAACCTCAGCTTCTTCGTCCTCATGGGGAGTAATCAGGCTTTTCCTGAGATTCTTGTGGTTTTTTTTTTCAGTGTGTGTGATAGCACAACTTGAGTGTCTTTAGTCAAGTTGAAACCAATTTTTAAGCATAATCTTAGTTGTGTGTGAACTGGGGCATTAACTGTTTAAAACATGTCCCCGATTGGGCTTGTAGGTCGTAAAGGAGCACTGACATCAAATTTAAAGATCGACATGTGCCCATCATTCGATCGCTTGGTATGCATAGGTGTTCTTGGCCAAATTCGAATAGTATCTGCCGTGTGGAAGTTATTTTAATTCAATCTCAAACAGCGTAGAAAAGCTACGGAAAAAAAAAACGAAAAATAGGCTGTCTTGCGACATCGACACTAGTGCTATGTGTTCGGTGTGATACATTCCACAATTTCCATCCTGAGTGATGATATGCTAGTAACAATGATGTCAACGATCTGAGTGTTTGGAGCCGACTACCGGCCATGCTTTCACTGATGGTTCTCCTCGCTGTGTTGAAGCATGTGTGCGATTCATCGTGTCACATCGACTGATTTGACATGTGCTCCACAGCGTGAGTACGATCATTCAGAGTAACAACACGTGCCAGAATGTCGGGAACTGCGGCGCAGTGGGAACCTGCACGTCGAGGCACGGAAAAAGCAGAAATTGCCTGGCGTTTCATATCTTTCCAAGCCACGAACCTCAACGGAGCCAGTGGGTTGACTTCGTATGCACCAATGGACAGAGGGACTGGACGCCTAAGAAGAACAGCCGCATTTTCTCGCTTCACTTTTGCGCTGAGCTGCTGCAGGGTAAATCCTGTGTTGGCGAACAAGTTGGGCTTCACTGGCAGTACGAGGCCCCTTCTTCGAAGCTGGGGCTAAAGGGAGAGGGGAAGAACGAGTTGGCGCTACTTAACCTAGCCGGTGGAAGATGCACGGAGAGGCTTTAGTCTACATCATCAGAGAGACGGCAGGAATGACTGCACGTGCGCTCCTGGCAGGCGAAATGCCAGTGTGCGTGACGTCACCATTTTTTGTGAAAGCAGCATCAGCTATGCAGAGGCCTTGATGTGGCCGCGAGGTTGCGCTGACAGCACTACAATTTGGTGAGCTTTCGACCCACTTTGAACTACATTCAATAGCAGATATATTAATCAATACTACAGATATTCATTCGTACCTCAGATGCATTTTAGGTCGCGAATTGCACTAGGGAGTCAATAGCTCCTTGTTGGCGTAAAAATTTTGACATGAGTAAATTTGATGTCAGTGCTCCTTTAAAAGGGCACTGACCAGAATTGCAAAATAGGTACCTCAACTCCATTTTTGGGAATTGCAACTTATAATTTCATTCTTTTCAAGTCCTCAGAATGATAAAACTTAACTCGTTTGATAGTGTCACGGGATCGTGACGTCGATGAAGAGAGCAGACAGTTGGTTGAAGATTAAACTGTTTATTCAGCGGAATTTCTGGCCACGTAAGAAAAAAGTCGGATTACAGCAACATACTGGCACTGATAGCGGCGAGCAGAGCATCGGCCCTCGATCAACTCACAAGCGGCGAAGCATGTTGGCATTTATACACTTGCCATCGAACATTCTAGCTTTATCGCGAGTGGCAACATAGGTTCCAAAATAATCTGAAATGTTTCACAAAGTGGGCGTAGCCTTAACAAAATGATTTACTATAATCGTGAACCTTCTGGAACGAGGCGCAGTTTGTGGTAAGCATTCCAGACAGGCTTTGTGGCCGAAAACCGAATGAAATATAGTGTAAATAAAAAAAGCGCATGGCAATAGTGAGTGTAAGTTTCTATGCTTGTCAGCTGTTTGATTTTTGGCCATGTGATCACGTGGCCGTAACTATGTTCTTTCGTAAGTATATATTTGAAGGTTGACAGATAATAAAATTCAGTTTTCTTTTGTGTGTCCTTGTCTTCAATTTGCGCACACCAGTTTATCTTGAAAGTCAATTCCATTTTTACGATTCCTCAACGTAGGAAAGTAGGGAAGGCATATCTTGATAGCTTTGTCGAGCTGAAAATGATGGTAACAGAGCATAAAGCTGATGTCATCAGAAGCATATGAACTGCAAATTTACGCTAGACATGTTACTACGGTCGAGGGATAGGAGCTTGGTAACTTATCCCGTCTTGTACAGCCACACCACTACTTCCCATAGGGGCAGTTCTCTCACTACTTATGGCATTTTCATGGTCAGCACAATATTAAAAATGTTTAAATCACAGCATTCTTTTTGTGAACTACAGCACTATGGTGTACGTGGCCTCACCCTTAGCCTAATGAAGTCATACCTCGGTTGACAGTCTCAATACGTAGTCGTTAAGAACTGCGCTTCAGAGATGCTAAGTAACAGAGTTAATCAATCGTATTGCCACGTTCCATTTCCCAAGTTTTTGTTATCGTCCGAAAACACCGCACGATTCTCAGCGCAAACCGCGCCTGCAGTTTTCTAGAAGGTTCCGGACTGTAGTAGATCATTTCGATAAGATCACGCCCACTGTGCGAACGGTACAGATTGTTCTGGAAGCTGCGCCACCGCCAGCGATAACGCTAGAACATTCGACGGCAAGAGTATAAATGCCGACGCGCTTCGCCGCTTGTCAGTTGTTGATCGAAGGCCGACGCTCCGTTCGCCGCTATCAGTCCGAGACTGCTATCTGTGCGAGACTGCTGCTGTAATTGGACTTTCAGTTTACCGGGCACAGGTTTGCCCAAATAAACAGTTAAATCCTAACACGAAGTCTCCTGTCTTCGGCCACGTCACGACCCCGTGACATCTGGTGGAGGTGCTGCTTCGTTCATGTACCGGACGCCCCCGTCAAGCCGTGAACCCAGCCCACGTCGCGGAGAAGACACCGACACCAACCAGGAGCAGCGAACAAGCCGCCGACAGCAAGGGCTACCACCGGAGTACGGGCTTCTACCAGACAAGGCGCGAAAGACGAAGGCCATGACCGCGACTGCAGCGACAATGACAATCGCAGCGTCCCAGCCCACGATGGTCATGCATCAACCCAGGGAACCACCAATTTTCCATGGGTCATCGTTCGAAGACCCGGAGTCCTGGCTGGAGACATACGACCGTGTGGCCGCCCTCAACCACTGGGACCATGACGAAAAGCTGCGTCGTGTGTTCTTCTATTTGGAAGACACCGCAAGGACTTGGCTTGAAAATCGGGAGTCCACGCTCCGAACGTGGGATGTTTTCTGCGGCGCATTCCTTCAAACGTTCGCGAGCGTCGCTCGCAAAGAGAGGGCCGCTGCTTTATTAGAGACTCGGGTTCAGCTACCAAATGAAAATGTCGCCATTTTCACAGAATAAATGACCCGACTATTCCGTCACGCTGATCCAGACATGCCTGAGGAGAAAAAAGTTCGTTTCCTCATGCGAGGGGTCAAACAGGAGCTCTTCGCGGGACTGATGAGAAACCCACCGATAACCGTCCAAGAATTTGTAGCAGAAGCGACCACTATCGAAAAGACCCTGGAC